ACCAGACAGCTTGCGCTGGAGTGAGCTCATCGAACTGAGAAGAATCTCGAACAGAGACTGGAAACTCGGTTTCCTCGTCAGACCGTGGAAGCAAGTAACACTGATTCCCTCTAGGTAACCTGAACACACTTTGGCACTGTTTGGGTGCATCTGTGCGCTCTACAGGATGGTGGAGGCATTCCAAGTCCTCTACCAATATCTCGTTCATTGGTATGAACCTCTGTGAATAAGCTGATTCATGAGACCCTCAATCAAAGCTAATAGGCAACCGGTGTGATGCTTGTCTGTGAGGTTCGGAATTCAAATTTTTTAGGTCTTTGAGCAGTTCCGTGTCTTGCTTAAAGGCAGCTGGCAGCACGATAATTTGGTAGTGGGTTTAAATGCTAGTAGGGCCCTATGTCAAAAAAATTGCGAAGAAAAACCTTCATTCTTTATGACTCAGGAAGCGTACGGTCGTCCATTTGTGGGCGGACGGGCACGGCTGGCGTGCGGGTCGGTATATCGTAGCTTGGTAGAGCCTTATAAATTTACCTCCTTTGAAAAAACCGCTACGCAGCTGCCCAGAGTCGCGGAGTTCCTCCTTGCCAGGCGTATTAATCCTACTTGTCTTAAGGATTTATCATGCCAACTGCCTCTAAAAAGGAATCCGCAGGAACACCCGCAAAATAATGGATTGGCCCATAAGTGGTGTTTTCATTCAACTAAAAATTTCGTGTCGAGAATGAGACGTTACACCATTGAGTTCTGTTTCCATCTGATTCCAGTAAGATTGGGTTTTCTAGAGATCTTATCTCTATTTTGTCAAACTGATTATAATGGTGGGTCACATCGACAAAATCGAGCCTTTTCGACGGACTCTCCTCTTCCTGTTTGATTCAAAAGCTGAATTCTCACGAACGCCTTCGATAAGTATATGTAGTATGACAAAGAAGCAATGTCTCTTATGTTAGGATGGCAAGACATTGCTCAAGCTGTTAAAAGACTTCAATTCTTAGGAGGGCAAGACATTGCTCAAGCGGTTACAAGATTTTAATTCGATCTCCAAACAAGCATCGCACCGGGTACCAATGAGTCCGATTGAGGGATGTCTGAGTCAGCTCTCTCACAGTGATTCATGCCAACGAACGAGATATTTGTAGAGGATACGGAATGCTTCCACGATCCTGCAAAGTATTGCCTTCACATTGTGAAAAATGGTCAAAAACATGGTGCATGGGTTCTGCAGGCAGTCACTAATTTAGAGGTAGCCTCATACGGTGAACTTTTACGAGGTCGGAAGTTCCATCTCTAAATTGCTTGGACCAAGTTCGGGCCCTCCGCATCATACTAGCTTTAGCTACTAGGCAAACGCGCCTCTGCGATTTCAGCTTCTCAACAGAAAGAAAGGGGAGGAAGTGTTGAAAAAGCCCAGTTTTGTCTACCTAATCCTTCATAATAATCACTTGGGGGAAACATGGAGATAAGATTTCTGGAAAATCGCGCCTACTGTCCCATAGGGCTGGAAACAATTTTCTATTCAGAAACAAAAAAAAACAACTCAACGGGGAACCTTCTCATTCTTGACGCAAAGTTTCTTGTGAGGAAAACACGCCGTTACCTACGGGCCTACTCACAGTTTCGCGAGTTTCGATGTGTTGCGAGCTCCAACGGTGGAGTTGCTCTTGCCAACTCTCTCTGAAAACCATTCATAACCCTTGCTGCCTGGGGTAGATGAGGAGGTGGGAAATGTACGATAATACTCGACATTTCATAAAGGGAATATTGGGAATCGTGCGGAACACACTGTCAGTGGAGTGCTATGTAGGCATTATTTCGAAACTGCTGAGTTCTCCATAATTTGTGATTTTTGCGGACTTTACTGAGCTCTTTGACCAATAATCTCTGATTCCGTGTTCGTGGAATCGCAACATTTAATGAGCCCCGTAGTTTTCGTGAAAACTGTACTGAAACTGTATCGAATAGAATGCACAGAATATTGCCGATCCACTCAAGTGTTGGTAAACCGGCCTCTGAGAATGAAGACCTGGTCGTATCAGTAGAGAGTTTCAACCAAAATTTTCATCGACACGATGGGGCAAAAACTGCAGACTGCCCAATGTTTTTTTTTCGAGATTTTGAGCTTCATCGATACTTGAGGTACAAACTTGGGACTTCGCGACACCTATAAGTGTTTCATTCCCTCCTGCGGAAAGGTAATCTAGGTCCAAGCGATCTGAGATCGTTCAGTCCCACTTCTTTTCTGCCGGTTGAGTAACGCGGTTCTGACTGCCTTTAAATTCAACTGCAAAGAGTTGGAGTTGTTCTAAGCATTATCGAAATAAGTGAGAAAGAGAGAAACAATGCATGAACCCTCCCTACTTTTGAGCAGGACTTATAAACAGCTTGTAGCTGAATCTTGCAGCGATCAGATCTTATCTCCTGGTGTGGTGGTTGCAGGCCTTGACGTGGAGGGGGGGGATCTCTTTGAAATACGAAGCCACTTCTTCCACAGCAGCCTGAGAGCAGTCCTCTTCCATTCATTTGAGGGCATAGCGAGGCTCAGAATTATGAAAAAAATGCGAGGTTCCCGAGTTATGGAAAGCTCATCAGTTTCGAAATGATGAGTAGCACCGCGTCCTCGAAGGCAGTTGGCACGATAATTTCCTACTCGGCCTAAAATGCTAGCAGGGCGCTATATAGTGGGGAAATGGCGAAAGAACGGAGTGAAACGGTCAAAATCCTGCGAAGAAAAAGCCTTCGTTCTCAATGACTTCAAAATCAATTTCGGACGAGTTCCCCGGAGGCATCTTGCCAATAACCGTTACGGTAGATACGGTTGCACGTATGTGCTCATGAATCCATGCAGCACCGCCGTCGCTTCATACCAATCCCTTCGCTTCATAATTTGCTTAGCAAATGAATCAATACGAGCGTCAGGAACGGTCGTCCATTTGTGGGCGGGCGGGCGTGGTGGGCGTTCGGGTCGGTATGTTGTAGCTTGATAGGGCCCTTATAAGGGTACCTTCCTTGGAAAGGGCGCTGCGCAGCGCCTTCTTAGGGCGCGGAATTCCGTCCTGCCAGGCATATTAATCCTACTCGTCTTTAGGGATTTATCGTGCCAACTGCCTTTAATACGCTCCGCAGGAGGATTGGAAAGAGCTACTGCACAGTAGGAGCTCATCGCAGAGTCCTCACTGTTTGATACCCTCTATGTTGTGCCAAGCATGCGATTAACAAGCTGAGGTGTTGGAAAGGCGCAACTTTTAGATGGGCTTTTTCCGTGCAAGCGGATGTGCTCCTGTTAGGGGAATGTTTCTGTTCATCAATTCGTGATGCGTGGGAGAAGGTCGCCGTTCTTCTTGTAACCGCTCTTTCCCCTCTCCTGAACTGCCTCAGAATTCAGGTGCCTGTACAGGCTTTCTTCTCAGAAATAATCATGAATGAAACAGTTATCACCCAGTGACTGTGCATCCTCTGAGTACCGCTGCTTTTCCCACTTCGGAACGAGCATTGCGCTTACGACTTCCCCCCCCCCCGCCCCTCCCCTTCCTCGCCACCAAACACGTCTCCCTCAGCTGTTGTGATATCTACGACGATATCCCGCCCTGGTGGAGAGGCCTCTATGAGCGACTATTTCTAGACGGGTGCTACTACATCTTTCAATTAGTCATCTGCTAGGTTGTTTTAAACGCTGTCTTTGCTTCAGAATGTAGCGATCAACAAAAATATCACCCAATATTTATTACATAACCGTACTACGAATCCGTCTAGGACCTCCACGCAACCAATACGAGATACCTCTTCATATAGAAATACAAGATGAAATTCAAGCTAACAAGATTAAAATCACTTATTACGTAGTGGACCCAGGCAGAAGTTCAACCTATAGATCAGAATTCTACGGCAAACTTTTTTTAAATGTAAAGCACTGCAGTAACACTTACACATACAAGAACACTTCTATAATGCTATCAGGTTGTTAATTACCTCACGCATCTCGTCTACAAGTTAGAATTGGTTACATTTCTAACGGCGTCATCGATGGCTTTTGCCACATGCTCGACATTTTTCGTTGTCAGACCGCACACACTAATACGTCCATCCTTCAACAGGAACACCTTGTGCTTCTTCACCAGATGGTCTACTTGAGCAGCTGAAAATGATAATTTGAAGCATTGGATAAAACAATAGTTTTCGCTATTGATCAGTTCTTTTTGGTATGCATCATGCTTCAGCTTCCATTCAGTAACACTTATTTATTGAATGTGACATACCGTATACAGTACTCGCCGGGGGGGGGGGGGCAGACGAGCTTCTCCCTCCCCCAGAAGTGCCTGGCAGCAATTTTTCGGCCAGAAGCGAAGAAGGCCTGGTTGACTCAGCAATAGCTGACCTGGGATTTCACTGCGAAAGCGTTGTGAGCGAGCCACGCCGTCAGAATAATGAGGAATCCTGCGATGAGGTAGGTCACCACTAACAGTTCCGTTCTTGAAATTTGTAGGGCTTTGGGAAGGGCACTGAAGTGGATCGTTGTAAAAGCTACAAAGTAGAAGAGCAGAACAGTCAGGCTGATCAGACCCTTCGCTCGATAAGCCAAGTGAGACTAATACACCCACCATGCCTTAGAGTACTTTGAAAGAGGTACGTGAACTCGGGCAGGCTGAACCCTTCAGTGCGTCGAGAAAGCCTGTAGGATAGTTTTCCCGTTAATGAATCACTCTTTGGGATGCAGAACATACCTTCCATTTCGGGTTTTACGCGCGATTTGCCTTTGCGCAATGACTTGCTGGGGTGACCAGTACGAAGGTCAGCGTTCGTGTCTTCCTAAGCGAGTCTGGTGCCAATTGGCTTGCTTCAGAAGAATGAGTGGTTCGGTTGTCTCAGGTGGGAGGCAATCCGGCCTTTGTCCCCCAGACCGCGCGCAGGGTAAGTGACGCTCCTTGCCGCAATACCATCTCCCCACTACCACATCTGTAATGTTATGTTGATACGTTATGTTCTCAAATGTTACTCCATTATTATTTTCGGCCGTTTCAACTTACTATTCTCCTACTGGTTTGAGGGCAGGAGTTTAGGTGAATTAAAACGGCTGAAAATGCCACTTTTTTTCCTTGCTCCAAGTTTTTTTTCTGCTAGTGAACGCCCGCAATCGCCATGTAAGCGCCCTTTTTGCGGCGTAGATAGCGGATTGCAGGCCTATCGCACAGACCTATGAGGCCCAAGTGTAGTATAACCGTATTTTCTGAACGGGATCATCCACGTTACCACTTCACCTCCGCTTTCAAGCTCTATCTCGCACACATTATAACACTGCCACAGCTTTGTTGACTACCTGCCGGCCCCACTTACTCTCCGAACTCTCCCCATTTTTTCGGCGAGTCACATACAATCGACATGTGAGAACTCTTCAACGAATACTTGACCCTGGTGCCGTTAACTGCCACTGAACAGGTTTCTGCTCGAACGCATTGCTTTTCGAGAAAAAAAAACGAAACGAAAAGAAAATCTAACTGACCGTTGAGACCAGTGTAGCTGAACATTCCGATCTGTTGCGTTATATGACTCCATGAACCGGGTGTTCCAAGCTTCTCTAGATGGCTTTGAAGAGCCTCACGCATCTGCCTGATCCTCGACGACATAGTCTGAAACAAACAACAGATTATTCGCATTTCAGCTGCATTTGCCCTTGGCCGTCACATTTTCGGGAAGCAGTCTAAATTTTATCGATATTTGTCATCAACGGCGATTTTTCTCGAAATTCGTCTGCGAGGCAATTTTATCGCCTAATGACATCACTTTGAAAAAAATGCCTTATCCGACAAAGAAACGGTAGGTGGTCATACAATTTCTGGGGACAAAGTTCTAGCCAAATCGAGAGTTGAGCCAAACTTGTGTTGAACAGCAGAGAGCAGAGTGAATATCACCAGGCTTTGAATATGTCACTTCTCCTCACTGTAATTATTGCAATTCCAAAAACCAGACCTTTATGCACTCGTCCCACTGTGATCGCATTGCTGGCGTCGTTAGTACCTTGTGAACTATACGAGCGCCATGACAAGGAGGATTGGACCTTAAAAGGATAGTATTTTTAATAGCTGTTCCCCAAAAAATGCGACCACTTGGGTGCATTGCAATTTGATGGGCGGAATTACGCAGAGAATTACAGCAGTCCTCATTGGTGAGTTCTATTATACGTAGCTTCGCCCACCAACTTGTTGTGGGGAACGGGGCCACTTCCACTGTATAAAGCGGACTCGTTCATTAAACCCCTTACACCTGCAATAGTTGAGGATAAACAGCGAAGAAATAAACTACCAGTTGGCCCTGATAATTAAGGACATCTGGGATTTGTATCCGGGAAGCACCAGATGGATCCTTCACAACAACACAGAGGTTACCAATACGCTCATCTGTAGGGAAAAATTCTACATTTAGCTATTGAATAAAACAGTTGTGCTGCGTTGTGGGCAAAACTCAGACAACTTGCAGGATCTAAACTGCATCTTCGCAGCCATC